GTAAAACAAGAACCTTATATCAGACCTGACTTCATTAAATATTTATCATTCTTCTAATGCACATGGTTGAAAGCAACAGCATGACTGTGCTTTGACTTCAGTCTGTCTCACAGCTTTTCCAGACTTATGTGACACCACCCATCACGTGTTTGAGGCTTTTCTCAAAAATGTCTATGCATCAGCTAAAACTTTCCCACTACATTCATCCTAGACCATTTCATTACGTAGATGTATATGTAATTGGTCAATGCAATTATCTGTAAAATGTACGCAACGCTTAAAAGATTGTCTTACATATTTAAAATATGATAGTGTCTTTGTTTTTGCATAAGGCACATTAACTGTATTCTTTATTCAAATTAAACTGCAAGGAGCACTGAAAATCTAAACAAAAAATGTCATTAATAAAGATAATCTGTCTGAATTAAACTAAGTTGTAACCTTAATCATGTGTCAAACATATCCTGCCAGGTTCTGCAGGAGTCTGTTGTGCTGGTGAGTTTGTATGATGTTCATTCCCAGCCGCTGTTTCCTAAATTTTGTGAAGAGACTGGTTTAATTACATACAAGTTCTGGATGTTGTTATGTTCTGGATTCAAAATGACACAGAGGAAAACACTACTCTGTTATTAAGATCGGCTATTCTTAAGACACCACTGAAGGAGAATGAAAACATAAATGTTGAGTGTTGTTTGGGGAGTTCTCCTTTGTTTAACTGTTTTGGCTGTATTTCCTTTGTGGTATTTTAATTATGTTTTGCTTGTTCGAGTATAGAGTTTGCTTGTCAAAGCAAGGCATGTGTTGTCAGAGATAATGTACCCTTGCAAAATGAATAATTGTATACCTATTTACAATTCTTTATAAAAAATACTAGAAACAGGTGTGTCCGCCCTATTATTGTCATTATTGCATAGAAATTAACTGAGACTACATGATATTTGACCAGAGTTGCATTTCTCTGCTTGTTTTACTTGAACTTAGTGCCACTTTTGACGATATAGAAAACAACAATATTCTATATTGTGTAAACATTTCTAAACAGGCACTATCCTACTTTAGATTCTACCAGTTAGTTTGTGAAAATGTGACTGTGTAAAATGTGATGCTCCGATGTTAAAGAAGGGTATTCCACAAGGCTCAGTCTTAGGTCCTTTGGTTTTTTTCCTTGTACATACTCCCTTCAAGTGATATTATTAGAGAACATGGCATGTCATTGTTATATAGACTATACACAGCTTTCATCTAAATTGATTTGTGTAATCTGTGAATGTTCACACCAACTGATAGCAGGTTTGCACCAACACTTATGTTCAACACTTATATCCTGAATAGAGTTAGCTGTGCTGAGAAATCTGTGCATGGAGTGGTTTGAAATTGACATTACTCACTGAGCTCAGTACAGTTTATCCCAAAAACTAGTTTTATGTGTGAATTTGACCCAATCACAACCAGGCCCCTTGCAGATTCATTCTTCTATGCATCTATATATGCGTTTACAGGCTTCATGGTCCACTCTGAGAGCTGAGTTTGTTCATCTGAACCCTGCACAGCTGCATCACATGCTGAGAGAGTACAACACAGCTCTGACATGCCCTCCGTGCTGGATGCCATCTCCAGAGGATTCAGCGGCAGCCCTCAATAGCTGTGAGCCCAAATATGAATTCACACACACTTCATCCTGTAACTGAATGATACAATGTCCAATATTTAACCATTGTCATTTCCAAATCTATTATACCAACAGCCTTGTCAGTATTAAGAACCTTTTCTGTTTTATTGTGAAGTGATTGATTAATTTATTTTAAAAGATTAGGCTCAAGTGATGTCGTTAGTTTACTGAGATTATCTGTTCCTCTGCCTGAGTGCTTGACAACAAAAATGTTTTTTTTCCTCTTAGCTAATATCCTGGAAAGTTTCGACAACCATCCTCCTCTAATCCTGCCCAGCAGCATTTTTTATCTGGAGCTGGGAAATCCCATCACAGAGCCAGGACTGTTCACTCCTCTCCAGCATCTGCAGGAGTTTATCCAGTCTCTCCCAGACAGCCAGACACAGTCTGACCAGCAGCCCTCACAGGTAAACCGCCTCCATCCTGTTAATTCCTTATAGACGCCACAGAAAATGCACAGGCATTTATTGCAATGGTTTAAAACTGGTGTTTGATGGTACATTTCGAAACATTGCCCTGTAGTTTAGAAATAAGTCATATGCAACTAAAGTCAGTATAGTCATTCTGCTATAGTTATTCTGCCCGAAAGACGCTACTAATTAAGATTAAAAACATACCCTAGATTGCTCAATGTTGTTGCTTAAATGACTATTAAATTTGAAAAATTTCAGATTGTTTGACAAATGGCTATTTTTCACTTAAGACAATGGAATTGCATCTTCATTGATACTTTCTATAAATTGTTTACTCTCGCTTGCAACAAAACTTGAGTATTGTCTAAATTTCTTAATTACTTTCCCTGAGCATCAGACTTTTTAACCTACGAGACCTGATCATAATTTTCCTTAATATTTCTTGAGAATCACTCAAGGTCCGTTCACACCAAGGACGATAACTATAACGATAACGATAAAGATATAGTTCTAAAAATCATTCTCAATATTAAAGAATAGCAGAGTCCACACCACAACTATTAACGATAAAGGCACAGAGAAACGATATCGTTGGAATCACTTTCAGAATGATTTTTTTCCAACTGATGAACGATAAAAACATTGACAGCCAATCAGAATCCATCCTGCTATCACGAGTTTGAGAATTTAAAGCGGCAGACGCGCGTGCGCTTAGAATAAACAGACGATATTGTTCGCTGGTGTGGACGCTAATATCGTTATCTTTATAGTTATCGTTCTTGGTGTGAACGGGCCTTTACTCTTGCTTTGAGCAAAACCAAACAATATTTAAATCTTAAAGGGTTAGTTCACCCCAAAATGAAAATTCTGTCATTAATTACTCACCCTCATGTTGTTCCAAACCCGTAAGTTCATCATTTTCTTTGCACTCAAAAAGTATTCTCGTAGCTTCGCAAAACTGAAGTTGAGCCACTGATGTCACATGGGCTGTTTTACCGATGTCCTTACTACGTTTCTGGACCTGGGAACATTACAGTTGTGTTGCTGTCTATGCAAGGTCTGAGAGCTCTCACATTTCATCAAAAATATCTTAATGTGTGTTCCGAAGATGAACGAAGTTCTTACGGGTTTGGAACGACATGAGGGTGAGTAATTAATGACAGAATTTTCATTTTTGGGTGAACTATCCCTTTAATAGAACAAAATCGACCAACATTTAAATCTCTTAATAGAACAGAACTGACCAATATTAAAATCTTTGAACGCTCAGATGTGTATCCGAGTCGCTTCAGCACTCTCTGATATCTCCACTAGACAACACTATAAATACAATATAGCCTGATCTAAATCTGAAAGATCCCTCGAATAATTGTTACGTGTTGTCATATCACCCAGCCCTAAAGCTTGCTCTATGGTAAAGCGCTAATGCATTATTAACTGCATGACTTTCTGTAAAGCTGCTTTGAAATGTTGTGTATTGTGAAAAGTGCTATACAAATAAATGAAATGACCTGAAATACGGGCTGATAATTATTTTTTACATTTCGGATGCATTCAGGGCTCCTGCAGTAACTTGACAGAAGAGACAGCATATGAACCAATCACCTGCCAAGACTCAGAGTCAAAGGATCAGCAACATGTCAGCATGACACCACCTCAGTTTCAGGGGTCTCACAGTTACTTAAGCTCATGTGAGGCCGTCCTGACCCAGAAACTCAAGTGCCTGGAGCTCCAAAACAGCCTGTCTGGGAATACAGACCTGGGCTACCACAAAAGTCTGGCTCTCGACCCCTCCTGCCTGCTGACGCCTCCCAACACCCCTCAGAGTCTTGACCAAGCCGAACTTGAAGCCAGTCTGCTGGAGGGGGCGGC